AATATGTATTCTGGTTTCTAAAAACTAAATTAATTATTAATTAGGATTATGATGTAATTTTAAGATAATTTTTATAGCCAAAATATTCAATCTTTATTTGATATTCTTACTCTGAATTTGATTCTTACGTCCTAATATTTCTATTGCAGGTAACAAACTTTCAATTAATAAATAAACTACAAACAGTATACTGTCATTCTGTTTTAGATTCACAATAAACCATGAAATTTATTGAGGGTAGACTTAGGGGTAGAATACCGTATATACTCGCTTATAAGGCGATCTCCTTCCCCCAGTTTGAGAAGACTTTGGACGATTTTTGTATGTCAGGGGTACAAGACGACCCCTGTTTCATTGTCTGTATTCCTTTTTGATGCTTATTATGGTCTTGATACTGCATCTGGCTAAAAACAGAGTCAAATGTAGTGCTTATCTTTCAAATAATACCATATTTTTATAGGATTTTAAATGTTCATCAAAATCTTATTTCCCTGCATTAATTACGTTCATTCTAACAGTTAATAGTAGCTTTATTTCAGTAGTAAATTTGTGTGTTACAGAAGATCTGTACATAAGACAAACATGATAATAATAATAATAAAAATGTTGGTCTTATAGAGTGCTTAATACAAAACAATGCTTCTAAGTGCTTTACCCAAAATGAAAAGAAATGGAATGACGCCATAAAATATACTAAGAGTAACCCAAAATGAAGAATAAACGCAGAGGAACCATTTTCACCGCTCCGTTCTCTAGCACTTTGAAGCTCCCATTATTGAGAGCTCGCCAGAACAGAACTCACAGGAGCTCGAGTGAAAATGGCGTCTGACTATCCTGTCCAACCAACAAAAAATGTAGAGTGAATTTGAGGAAAAGATGTTTATCGGATTCAATCAGTGCTTTGAGTTTAAACAAGAGGAGCAAAGTAATTTTGCTACTCTAATGAATCACTAGCTTGCAGATTTTTCTTAAAAATGAAAAATGGTGTGTAACAAAGATGGCAAAATATTCACCATGTGTAGTCCAGAGTTGGAATGTAAATAGCCTACGGTAGTCAAGGTTTGACCATAAGAAATTAATCTTCATCCAGGAAACAGGCCAGATGGAAATGGCATGAAATTCATTTGAGATGTACTGTACTGCTTTCTCACCTCAGTATTTTGCACTCACATTAATCAATAACATTCTCTTCTTTGCTCTTGTTTTTATTTTATTATTTGGTATACAGTATAATTCTAGAAAAATAATATACTAATTACTCCAGGTAGGAAATAGCAAATACTGTACAAATAAGCTTGTCAAAAGAAACAAAAAATATCAGTATACAAAAAAAAAACTAATAGATAATGTTAAATGGACATGTGTGCTTCATAATACATTTTGTTGTACACTCCAACACATCTTTATTCTTATAGTACCTATTAGTTTTTGGATTTATGTTAGTTAATGTTAGAAATGAATTTATGATAAAAAGTTGATGAAGTTAAGATGTTTCAGACTACAGTATAAAGTGTGAGGGTTTTGGCAGTCATTAGGCTTTTAAAAAGTACCTATCATCCTATCAACCTATCTATCCTGGAAAAGTAATGTGGGAGGGGAGGGGGTGGAGCCAAAGTATCACCCTTGGGTTGTTTGCCGGTGCATTTATATTCAAAATAATACATGATTGAGATAATACAAACAATCTATTTAACTATTTAAATAAGAAATGAAAAAAATAAGTTAGAATACACGCATGTGAGGGTGATAAACTAATAATTATTTATTGGGTCTTACCAAAATTAATTTTTTGTCACTCAACCCCAAGAGTGTATTGTTATCTAGTGTGTGAATTGAAATGAAATGGTTCTGGTACTGAATTAACTGAGCAAATGGGAATACTCCTTAGGGAGTCAGAACAACCAGGGATTACCCCTTAGGGAGTAGAGAAGGCTGCACATTCTGTGCTATATGATATCCAACAACAGGCCAGGGTAACATGAGTACATAATAGAGTCGCTTTATTAGGCTCTACAGGTTCAAAAAGTAAATGTAAAACAAATAAATATAATACAAATTAAAGTAGTAATTGATATTCCGAAATCTAAACAAAAGTAATTTCAAAAGCCAAAATGATGCAGTAAAATTAGATTGATGTGTTTGTTTATACTTTCAACATGATTAACATTTTCATTTTCAAAACACTGTTTTTCCATTTAAATCTCTTTGTTCTTTTTATTCAATTTGCAAATTCTGTCCTAGCTTGTTTTATTATTATCAGCAGTAACAGTATGTAGGTTAACAAAGGTTAAAAATTAGCCTGCATATAGGAATTAATTTGACTGATTTATTGTGTGATTTCTTGCAAAATAGGTTAACAGTGTAGGTAACAGTCATCAGACAGCATGTATGCATGATATTGATTTACTGTGCATAATAGTGAGTAATATTTTTTGCAGAAGATGCTATCATAACTAGATTTCGATGGAATTCCAATAATATCTGATGTATCTGTTTCTTATAAATCTTTTTTGTTCATGTTATACTTTGTAAAATCAGGGGCAAATCCAAAGGGAGATCAGAGAAACCCCCTCCATGCCAATTTGAAAGCTGTTCCCAAACTGCGGCCACACCCACTTCTTTCCGTTTAAAGGATTTGTGTGTCTTTATGTATGATACCATTACTGTACCAATATCGGAAGGATTTTAAATGCTAAACCCCCAGAGACTTAAAGAAACTAGCAATTAGTAGTGAGACATTTTAGAACATTACAGATTACTTCCCAAAAAATTAAAAACAAATATATTTTTGTTAATTTTTTTTGTATGAAGAAAGTACTTGTCACCTCACCTGTCCCTTTGGCATCATTGTCATTGTTGGTATGGTTTTTTTTCTGGTAACCAACATGACATTAAAGGTGCTATAACTAACTCTCAATGTCACATGTGGCAATTAAGATAAATGTCATTGTATTTTAAAATGGTAACATGATTAGTGACAAAATTTGGTTTGGTCGCATTAAGGTGCTCATGCATGACACTACACGCAAGCATCTCGATCTTCTCAGGAAGGAAGCGTTGGCCTCCGATGAATAAATGCACGCATCATCTAAACTTCTATTAGTCTAAGGCAATAAGAAGGAAATTGTAAATGGTTATGAATGGTTGAAAGTGTTATATTTGTTCTGTTTGAATTACATGGAGGTTAAAGGTGGATTAAAACATAATGGTTGAATAAAAGGTCAGGTACAGTTGAAAGGTAAAGGTCGTCATTTAATACAAAGATTTAGAACAAAGAAAAATGAAATAAAAGTTTAGTGACTTGAAATTATAAGCACTTTTGCCTGATGGATCATGTACTAACAGTTAAGCCAAATTTATCACCTATTACAGTTTAAGTATGGTTGCCACGTGTTCTACTGTCAGTAAGGAAAATATTTATTGCAGAATTAACTGAAGAAAAAGTAGGCAGAATTACATAAATTATATAAACATTTTTTAAAATATAAATAATAAATGAATATTTCTACAAAAAAAATTAATTGACACAGAGCATAGAATTTAGGATACCTGAAAAAAAAAAAATATTAATATTAATATTTCTCAAAATACAGACTGGTCCATAGAATTGTCATATGACCAGATGATAATATATGAAAGCTTAAGGACACACTTTGAACAAAATCAGAATTTAAATATTTGTAAGATAATCATATAAAAAAAAATTAAAACAAAAACAATATTTAAAGAGAATTTTAAACTTGAAGTAAGAAGTCATTTTAGTACATACTCTGTAGTGAATAATTCTCAAAATACAGACTGGTCCATAGAATTGCCATATGATCATATGATAGTATATGAAAGCTTAAGGACACACTTTGAGCAAAATCAGAATTTAAATATTTGTAAGATAATCATATAAACAAATTAAAACAAAAACAATATTTAAAGAGAATTTTAAACTTGAAATAAAAAGGCATTTTTGTACATACTCTGTAGTGAATAAAATTTCTCAAAAAACAAGAAGATAAAAATTAACTACATGAGAAAAATTATGAGGCTTAATAAAAATGTAATTACCAAAAAATGATTCAAATTTAATTTTGAATTATTAAAAATACATTACGGCAACATCAAACCACTTCTTAGCTTTGCTTATTTGCCCAACCTATCGTATGGCTTAAAGTAAATTTCTTATTTCATGTTCATATAAATCACATTAGTAATATTACAGATATTTCTCGGAGACATTGGCAACTATAAACTTAATCACACTATAACAAAAGTAGTAAACCATCTGCTTGGCTAATTTATGAATTTAAAAATTACTTGTTTAGCATTTTGTTTAATAGTACCAGCGTTGTCTGAGAATCACGAATTATTTCGATAGATCAACCAGTCATAGAAATCTGTTTAGCTGTCATTTTACCTCTTTGTTTTTTAGCTTGAATACATCTGCTGTTGATGTTTTTTTTTTATGAATGCCTTTGTGAATTATTATTGAAACTGAAACAACAATGACTACACAGGCATTGAATTAGAATGAAAGGGAATTTGCTGATGTGAATTATTCTTTAAAAATGCTATGTTACATGATATAGTATTTTCAGTGTAATAATTTAATGACTAAATTTTATTTGATATGTCTAAAGAAAAATCTGTCAGTCAGTGATATATTTTTATAAAGAAGATTGTGTTCTTTCAAAAAATGCATTTATCATTTGGTGGTGTAGTGTAGTACCAATGGGAGGACAGCTTAATCCCTGTTAGAAAGGCCAATCTTTCCCCTCTCTCCCTTCAACCTGTGATTGACCAAACAAGAACAAGTCTGTGGTAAATATATATTTTTGAATTTGTTTAAAATTGCAAAAAAAAAAAAAAAAAAAAAAAACTTGCTCAAAAGCCTTTGGGGGAGGGAAAGTTTGTTTCCAAAGCAGTCTGTATTTCTATATACAGTACATGGGAAATATTCTTTAATGTGATATTTAAATGTGAAATGTATTTTCTTCAATTTTTCATAGGTTGTTCTGTGTATCCAAGTAGTGGCACATCACAGGAACCATTCTCCATGTCAAGTGTGCCAAGTGCCTTTTCAGTGATAAGCCATGGCTTTCCCACAGCCAACAGAACTTCAGGACTGGAATTTGGCGGCCTAGGCTCTCTTCGCAATGAATCCCTAGGGAACAGTATCCCATCTCCTAGTGCCACCTCTACAGCTTCACACACCCCCTTGAGTCCATCAGGTAACTGTTTACAAATTTGCTTTGCTTGAATTATAAGGAAGACATGAGTAGGATTGGTAGGATAGAAAGTGGAAACGGGACATGGGAGGGAGGTAGGCCGTCCAAAATATGTTTTAGTTTATTGCAACATTTGATAAATTTGAAGATAGAGAAAACTATTTAACAATTCACTATAAGATAAAAATTTTAACTTGAATTAACATGCAAAAGTGGATTTTTGTGTCTCACTATAGTATTGTAAACATTAACTTGCAATTAGGGAGAGGTTTGACCAAAGTGTGTTTATTTTTGGCCTCATCAATACTGAATGACAAACACTTACAATAATTCACATATTGCAAAATTTTTTTGAATATAATTGGTTATATTGTACAAGTGAGATGACCTATCATGCTACCCCTAGAAGAAAACCTTTTGGCGCTAACCTTGCATTTTGTTTTTTTATTTTCACTGTTTCTTTTTTGTTCTTCATGTTTGCTTTTTCTTTTAAAATTTAACATTGTTGTTGCCTGTGTTCTTAATATTGTCACTTAAGTTATTCTAGTTTTTTATTGATTTTAAATTGCACACACAGTACAATGAAGTGTACTTGATTAGTGGCTATAAACTTTATAGTATCTTCTGAGTATCTGATTGGTTAAGAAGCAATAGAAAGTACAATTCACCTGAAAAAGTACTATTCCCCTGAAAAATAGTACTTTTTTGCCATTGTGTCGTGCGAAATCTAGGCCCCACCATCGTGCTGACGGTAGAGGGGACTGCGACCTCCATGACGAAAGACATTGGCCTTTTACCGCGCTACGGATCAGCAAGTAGACGATAAACAATAATTGTGGAGGCTGTTGGTTTGAGCTTCTGGATAAAGGACTAGCCTATGCCTACTTCTTGACGAAGCCAATGGCAAAAGCACCAAAAGACAAATTAAATATGTCTTGTCAATATTCAACAAATATTGCAAGATGATGGGTGCTGTTGAATTTGAAGAAATAAGCACAAAAGAGCTAGACACTTTTTGATCGCATAGGCCTAGGCCCTAGTTAGTAGGCCTCTAGGCTTGGCTATCAAGTAAGTACTTTTTTAGGCCTCATAGAATCTATGTATGATATAAAATAAATATTGACTGAACTCTAGATTCAGGGAACAGTGAAATCTATTGCCCCTTGGTGATGTGGAGACAGCCTATCTTATAGGATAACTATCACCCAGGAGCAGTCAGTATTTGTATACCATGTCACAGTCCATGTTTTACGTGTCTACTTTCTATGTTATATTGCCTTATTTATATAATATATGTCAAACTACAAAATCCTTAGCTTAGCATTAAGGCTGACACTAAACTGCTACCAGATTTATGTATCCGTTCAAAGTCATTGCACTTTTTGAATGTAATTTTCTATAGTGTCTAAATATTTACAAATTCATTGGATAATTTTTTCCAAGTTGCCAATTATTCACTATTTATAAAATTTTCTTCCCTGAAATCTTTTGTTGAAATATAGTTTACTACAAAAATATTGCAACTAATTTTATATAATAAATTATTTAAATAAAAAAGTAAATTCATTTCCTTCTTGATGTTTGGTTTTATTTTCATTTGCTGGTTAGAATATTCAAGATACGTGTTTTTTTGTTATTACATGTTCTGCATATTTTACATCATAATCAATTTTATCATTTTTAAAGCCTATATTTTTGATGAATATTCATGATATGGTAATTTGTTCATTTCATATTCATAATTTAGCTGATAAAAAAATATGCATAGTTTATTATGCTATTTAGATTGACATCACTATCATGCTGGGATTAATTATAGAGTTTGTACCTCTTCATATAAGAACAAAAATAATTTGACATTATTTTATAAATATACTGAACAAGCTTTGAATCCTGTGTTGAATATTCATATTTTTATCATATTATGTCTACCAATTGGGATGTTCCTTTTAAAATATTTTTTGTTGAGTATGTTATCCACTAAGCATTCACTTTGTCACCTAGTAATTAGCAATAATAGTTGTTATAGTACCTCTGTAAGTCAACCCTAATTTCTTATGGCATGCTGTAAGGTTCGTGAGTTGGTCACGTATTTAGTGCAACATGGTTGTTCGCAGTCGAGCTTAAAGATTATTGTTTAATTTGATGTTCCCTTATACCGTAGGCTATGGCACTAAATCAACTAGGCATTGTGTCTGAATGATACATGAAAATAATTTGTTATTGGATCCACTATTTTTTTTTTATTTACTTAAGTAATGATATTGTACAAAATATAGGAATATTGCCGTGAGTATGTGTATGTTTGTTGTCATCAATCGCCAGTATTTCTTTATCACCAAAAATTCATTGTGTTAAATGTATGCCTAGGCAAGCTATTCTTCTACCATCAACTTATGGTTGGTATATCATATCCGACTCTTAAGAGATATAAAAACCAAAACAAATTGTTACCCACAATGCATTAAAAAGATCTAATAAGAGAGCACTGTAGTAGATTCTTTTGTTTACAGATGTCAGGGACCAGTTAAAAACCTATATTTATAATACAAACATTACTCATCTTACAATAGGCGTTTGAAGATAATCCCTAATTGATGATTATTATACAGAATAGAAGGTTGTTGTATTAAAGAACATACTGTAGGCTGTGACCTGTAATGATATGCATTTCACTGCAATATCTGAACTTAAGATTTAATCTGTGGCAGTCATTAGGCAGATTCAAGATTGACAGCTGAATCAAAGATTGCATATTATCAACTACTATTACAACTATACAGCATGGAGACTTATAAATTAATCATAATATTACAAAATTGTACTTTTTTGTCTTTATAAACGATTCACTTGCTCTGATGTATTTGATTCACATTCCGGGCAGTTTCTAGATTGATAGCTGAATGGAAGATTGCATATTATCAACCACTGTTACAACTCTACAGCATGGAGACTTATAAATTAGTCATAATATTACAAAATTGTACTTTTTGTCTTTATAAACAGTAATAAGCTTGATCTGATCGTGTTTGATCCAAATTCCATATGATGTATTACTGATAAATGAAATACTAATGAAAGAAAGTTAAAGTTTGGAAGACCCTCCCTATTGTAGCTGTGGAATATTAATACTATACAGACAACACATTTTGATTTCTGTGTGTACAATTACCAATTCACATTATTGTAACAACCTTGACATTCCTGATTGTATCTGTTGTATTTGGTGTCTGTTTTTATCACCTCTATGATTATAAGGTACTGTACTATATGTAGCAATCCAATTGTGGAATAGTGCGGTTGATAATTTGATCATAGTTATTATTATATGCACAACAAATTTTGCCAATAATCAGTGTACTGTATTTAGCATAGATTGAATCGCTGTCTTTACATTGCTTAAACAATGGTATACAGTACCAGTGGCAGATTCAAGGGAGGGGTGTAGCCAGCCAGCCCCTCCCCTCCTAAATTTTTCAATATTGTAAAAAATTTAAGAAAAAAAGAAAATTTAACATTCAAATTTTATGTCTGACAGTGCCATTTCCGGCTATCTAGACATAATCATAAATCACCTCAGCCCCAACCATGGTGGGGCTGAGGTGATATAGATCCTCCATCTGTCAAAGTCCTCCCCTGGGCCCCTCTATTTATAATTCCTACTGGATCCGCCACTGAGGTACGTATGACTCAAGGTAAGGTTTGTGCCATCATACAGGGTCTATACATTTAATGGAGTTTTAAAACAATTATATAGTTGCATCATATCATAATATCCATTCATTCTTTATTCAGCCAATAACATAAACAAGTGAATACAATACAACTAAAGGAAACTTAACATTTACTTGAACAATAGAGTATAACATAAGTTGGCTAGGATTAACTATAGTTTGAAAAACACTCTGGCTCTCCAGCCTGTTAGTGCGATAAACAGTACTGTAACATCTCTGAATTACGAAACTTTTCAAACAAGAACTGTTATGGAATCGAATTGTAGCAATGATGTGACGATAAACAACCTTTTCTTTAACTTTTAAACATTTGAAATTGCATAATAAAATGCTCATTCAGTCCTGAAATCTAACAATTGATATAAAGGCGAGTCCTAAGGCAAAGCTTAGTCGTATGGCATACAGCATTTTTAAACAATTCAAATTAATTTTTGTGGTCTATGAATGAGTAATTCAAACTTTATTTTCTTGATTCTTGCGTGGGAGTATAATATCTATAATTTATTTAACTTTATAAATGTAACACAATTCATCCATGATAATTGTGGCTGCCATGTACATTTATGATTGCTGAATAAAATAAAAATGAAATTGAATATTGTGAGAAGACCTTTATAAGTTCACTTCCTAACAGAGTCACGTTCTTCAAATGTTTGAATGACATAAATGTAGCATTTTGTGTAATGGCAAACATTGCTGGAACACAACATTTTTAATGGTATTTCATTGTGTAATTCCTTGCTTTATTTAGATTACTGTAAATATTTAAAAGTATGACTTCACTGAAGACCAATCTTGTATTGTTAAGAATAGATAATGAACCCTAATAAATGCATATTTTTAGTAGTCTCTCATACCAATTGTGATTTTTTAAATATTGTATCTACCTTTGGGTTAGGGAGACGCTTTGGAAGTAGAGGTTGGGAAGTATCTATATATTTTTCAAACTAATTGTGGTTTTTTTTTTTATCTACCATTGGCCTTTACCATAAGGAGTAAATTGAAGACATATGCTACAAGATGTCTGCAAATGTTATCATCAACCTTTTAGAGCAGGAATGCTATAGATAGTACTTAAAAAGCTGGTATGGGAAGAAAATTAATGAATTGATCGTAGGCAATCATGAATGTTACACTCAGTAGAAGGATTGACCCTCTTCGATCCTTCCTTCTCACCATATCCTTTTATTACTACTACTGTCACATCACATCCAACATTTGGCTAAAGTATTTACATCTATGTTTTCCCTTTATTTTTGGATTGTTAAT